GAATGCTGTATCGCAGGCTAATTCTGCTCACTGCCAGGAGTTCGATTCTGTCTGGCTCAAGGTTGACACAGCCTTGCATCCTTCCGATGTAAGTAAAATGAGGAACGGACTGCTTTAAAGGGGTGGTGCAGGGGCTAGAATGCAGTAATGCAGGCTATCTTTGCCCACTGCCAGGAGTTCGATCCTGACCGGCTCAAAGTTGACTCAGCCTTCCATCATTCCGAGGTGGGTAAAATGAGAATCCAGATTGTTGGGGACAAGAGGCTGACTCTGTAAGCCGCTTAGAGCACTATAAAGTAGAATGTAAGTCTAAGTGCTATTCTGTTTAGCAACAGAAATCCAGATCCCAATTATGGTTGCAAATCAAGGATTACCTACAATCAAATAAAGGAAGATTTCCGTAAAGGATACCACCAATGTTAAAAGCATGAACTTTATTTGAAGTAATATGGACAGGACTGGAAATTCTCTTTTTATAGCATCCTATGTTAGTCATTTCTGTTAGCAGAATATACCATCTTTATCATTTCAAACTTGAGGAAACGAATGCGGCATCAGGTGTACCCTGCCTGTTTCCTGAAACAGAATGATTTCATTTTTTCTGGATTTCTATCTTGGTTATGTCAGCATATTTGCTGTTGACTTGTAAGACCCTTTTCCCTTCACCTGCTGCACTAACGTAATGAAGTGTTGCTAGGCTCTGCTTCATTCTTGGCTGATTGTTGCTTGGCTGGAAGGAAAACACCTGTCTGCAAATACAATGATTTCTTTGTGTAAAAAGGGGAAACACAGGAGATAAAAAGTGTTCTTCCCATTCCTTTCCATGAACACAGTAACAGAATAACAGAGTTGGAAGGCACCTTGGAGGTCATCTAGTCCATCTGCTCAACAGAAGATCCTATACCATTTCAGCCAAATAACTGCCCAGTCTCTTCTTAAAAGTTTCCAGTGGAGGATCAACAACTTCTGAAGGCAAGCCATTCCACTGATTTTAACGGTTTTGAAATTTCTCCTTAGTTCTAAGTTGCTTTTCTCTTTGATTAGTTTCCATCTATTGTTTCTTGTCCTGTCCCCAGGTGCTTGGGAGAAAAGTTTGACTCCCTCTTCTTTCTGGCAGCCCCTGAGATATTGGAACACCGCTATCATGCCTTCCCTAGTCCTAACAGTAAAGACAATTAACCAGGTTGCCTTCAGAAATTGCTCTATCACTGGAGGTTTTAAGAAGAGACTGGACAGTCGCTTGTCTGAGATGGTACTGGCTCTCCTGCTTGAGCAGGGGGCTGGACTAGAAGACCTCCAAGGTCCCTTCCAGCTCCTGTTCTGTTCCATTCCATTCTTTTCACTAGGTACCCCAATTCCAGAAACCCTTCTTCATAGATTTTAGCGGCCTCTAATTATCTTTGCTCCTCTTTTCTGCATTCTTTCCAGATTCTCAACATTTTTTTTTATATTGTGGTGACAAAAACTGGATGCTGTATTGCAAGTGTGAATACTGTATTAGAATATACAACTTCATCCATTAAACATTCTCTTGTACATAATAATGGTGTGACAGAAACTCTGCAGAAATCATTTCAGCAAATATCACTTCAATCTTTTTTCTGACTCCTGAGGAAACAAATCCACTTTTCATCACCCATATCTTTCCTAAACTTGTTCCATAGCCATCCTGCCTTGAATACCCTGCCCCGAATGCTAAATACTAAATTTACTAAATACTAAAATATGATATTCTTAGAGAGAAATATTTGCCTCGCTTAAGTTTCTGTCAGGAAAAACCGGAAGACGCTCTGATCACCAAAAGTTTTGAAAGGTTTCATTTGTACATATTTTATCATGGCTTCTAAAACATGGTGAACATTAATACAGAAATTTATTTTGAATACATTGAAAGAAAAGAGAAGATATGGGACAAGGCACCCTTGTGAGAAGGCCTGATTTTACAACCATTTTTACAATGGTCATTAAGTGAAACACATGATTGTTAAGTAAATCATGAAGTCATAAATGCAAAGCTGTTCTCCCAAATGACCATTTTTTGCTGAAAATCAGCAAAAACATCATAACTTATTGCACCTGTGTCTGGTTTGCCAATTGCACAGTGGCAGATAGGACAGCACTCCAGGGGGTTAAAGTCATTGCCCAGAGGATCATTGGTTGCCCTCTCCCCTCTTTGGAAGAGCTTTATAGCTCCCGCTGCCTTAAGAAAGTTCAAAACCGACTGATACACTTTCTACAGCATGTAAAGAAGGATGTGTTATGTTTGTTTTGAAAATTAAAACTAAAAAAAAATATTTTAAAAAAGTAAGTTCAAAACATCCTTAAAGATCCATCTCTTCCTGGGCATCCTTTTTTTTTTTTTTTGAACTATTGCCATCTGGCAGATGGTACAGAGCAATAGAAACAAGGACAAACGGACTGAAAAACAGCTTCTATCCCAGGGCAGTAACTGTATTGAATTCCACAGTATAATGCCTTCTTAATGCAAT